AAGTTATTTCATGTTTGAGCACACTGCAAATTGAAGGGCAGTCCCGATGTCTACATCCTTCAGTAGACTGAAGTTCACACATTCCAAAGTGAAAGACTCTGCAATTTTATACTTACACACATGAGAGCACAAAGCATGTCAATAGAGGCATGGGTTACTCCATCATTGTTCCTTTTGAGGGCTTTCACAACCTTCACTCCTAATCGTTCTCGAAATCTTTTGAAAGGAAAGCAAAACCACCAAGATTAGAGAGGAAACAGAAGTCTTAGTTTTAAGACAAAAATCCAGTCAGGGACCAAAAATGGCCAGCTCCCATTGCATTTGGCAAGCCAGTACCTTGATGCTTACATAAATTTGAGATTGCTTGGTAGGAAAACATTAATATTGACTTCACTGTTAACAATACGCCAAGAGCATGTTCACCAAAACAAAGACATATTTTCATAGTTACAGCATAGTGATAGTACAGGACACTATTCACAGAGAAATAGAACTTTATAGAGGTCTCAGACTAAGTGCGTATGTTACTCTTCACATCATTCAGTTGCCCCATAGTCCAAGGTCAGAAATATTCCAAAGAATTTTTCATTTTCAGAAGAAAATCAGGCAGTTTTTCTGCTTCCTTATGTTATCCAATTAAGACACAAACTCCAAGCAGCCTGTACTTACTGTAGAAGTACAACTCAACTTCCTAACATCAAGTTCTATCTTGTGTTGAACTAAAGATAGCAATGGCATCAACATACTTTAAGAATGAAGAACTGCCTAGCTCAAGGACAGATGAAGGTGCATTTTAGAAGTTTTTCCTCTAGGAAAAATATTAAACCATATTTGACTCAAGGCAGAGAGTATTTAGCAAAGGAAGAATCAGCTTTACATACTAATGATCATTTGGGATTCTCAATTTACATTAAAGCCTGACAACAGCCTCATACTACTGGAAGCAATCATGTAAAGAGTCTTCCAGTCTCTTTCAGAAGTGAGGCTTAACTCCAATTCTCAGTTTTAAAGATAAGACATCATCAAAAGCTCAAGATCTCTTTTCACCTACTATTTCCAAGCTTGAAGAGACTTCTCACTTACTTTGGAAGCTGAGTAAAGGCAAGGAAGCCTGCTTTTGAAGCCACTAGTCGTCTTACTGCTTGGAATTGGCTTTCAAGCTCTGCATTAGATGCTGCAATATCTCCCTCTTGTGAGAGCAATGCTGTTATGGCATTATTGATGAGTTTCTCCTTGTTTTCTGAGAACAGACCCTGGTTAAGAAATAATAATTGTTAGTATCTTTATGCATTAACACCATCTTAAGAGGATGGGCAGAGGATTTATTCTTACATCTTGTGTAACTGCATGTAGTACCCCACTGTAGGAAATGTTAGCATTGAACCTGAACACAGCATCTGCAAAGTTACCATCTGGAAGAAGACATAACAAAAGTTAAGTGCGCAGTACCTGACTAAATATCCGGATACTTTAAAAAGCATTATAAAACCATGTAATAAGCATTAGCTTACTTGGAGGAGCAGCCAAAAACCTCAGATGAAGGCTCTCTACTTCTTCATCTACAGGCATACTGAGTAATCCCCAACGCTGGCCTTTGTGTGTGGAGGTCATTTTCACACAGACATCTCTATTACCAGAAGCTCTCACTCCATCCAACAAGCTAGCCAGGAGAGAATCTCTGGGTTGGGAGAAAGACATACAAATATAATTTAGATCAGAAAAAGTGATGCCGAAGAACCAAGGTATAAGAAAAATAGGCAAAAAAAAAAATCAAGTACGGAATGAAAGGCAGCAATACTTGGAATCTCTTACTAACACTGGTGCTAACAGCTACACTTCTGGAAGAAGTCACTAACTTTCAAGTGTTCCTTTATTCACTGTAAGAACAGAGCAGTCTTACACCCAGTATAGCCAGCTGCAGCCTTTCACTAAAAGGATCAACTCTAGATTATCTGTTAATGAGTTACACATGTTGCAAGCCAATTCATCCCTGTGCTTTCTGCAAAACCTCACTTAGCAGGATTAGACTGCATTACAACTGCAAGTGCACTCAGGGACTATTCTGTTGGTTGTTTTAAATAGAATCAACTAAGACCATTTCAAGCAGATAGCTCAAAGGGTTTACAGCCTTCACACTTCCGTATCACTTAAATTGTGCCTTCTTTCAGATATACTGCTTAACCAAGTACAACATACACAGAACAACGTTCCTTATGAGAAACAGGCAGTATCTAACTGTCCAACACCTTTACATGCTCATCAGAAAACTTCTGGACAGATTTGCTTGAAGTTGGGATGAAGGTAAAGGGGAGACATTTAGATCCTGTAACAAACCTTGATTTATAAGTGGCAGACCACTACAATAGCAAGGCTTCAAGTTAACACTTCCAAGGGTCAGAGTTTATGGAAGCTGAGGAACTAGAAGCACTACAGTGACAACTTCCATTTGAATTTATAACCCACAGGAGCTCCAGTTACCTTTCTGTTGAAGAGTATTTCCGAATTTGTCCTTTGATAAATTCAATGGTAAAAAGCTGGGGGTTTTCACAGTCACATACTATTGCAAATACCTAAAAATAAGAGATAAGGATCACATTCACAAAGCAGTGTTATTTATGTCCTCAATTTGTAGAGTATATCTTATGCATATTATCAAATTCCTACTATTATCATCTTTTAGAGCTTCTATTTGAAGAAGTGGCACTGAGAAAGGTTGCCTCTTACCTCGCCTAAAGGTTTCAAAGTTGCAATGTTATAGGTAGCTGGATCCCGCTCAACTAAGCAAGCTTCTGTAAGAGCTAGTACTCTTTTCACAGGTTCCTTAAAAAAAAAAAAGCATCTTAGGAAAGAATTCCTAGCACTTAAGAGGAACCAAGTAAGTTCAGTTTGATACCCTTACCAAGTGTCTAGGTGTTATTTTTTGAACAACAAACTCTGCTAAAGATGTTACAGATTCATCGTTGCTGTATTTTCCAAAGCGAAGATTCAAGTATTGCTCAAATTCTAGGGATTCTTTCCTTATCCGCAGAGAGATACCTATGAAGTTGCCAGCATGCTCTATTGCACTTTTGATAATTTCCTCCCTCTGCTCAGATGCAAACAGGTGCTGCAAGTTTTGACAAGAAAAAAAAAAACAGGTGAAAAATATGGCATAGCTCAAGAAATCATAGTTCCATAAATAACCCTCCACTATATACCTAACAGTAGAGAATCTTCCCAGCAGCTAGGCTTGGCTTTGCTAAGTGCATAGTATAAAGAGAAGAGGTATTTATTAAACAAGAGATCCACTATTAAGTTTACATTTCCCTTTCAAAAAAAAACCCACAATCTATAGCAGCTATTCCTAAAGGATACCCTGCTACACATTATCGTGCCATTAAAGTAAAGGTCTGTATGACCTGCCTTGTCCACCCTTGGCAACAGATCCTGACAGCCTGGCAGGAGTGAGGAGCCAGAGAACCAGAGTGGTAGCCCCAGCTATGCAAGGTTATGGAAGCTCTAGAGGATCAATTATATATTGCTAGTTTTATGCCAGAGAAAAGCATGCTGCAGTATGAAAGATGTGGAAATCCTGATCTAGAGAGCAGAGTCCTATTTTGTTAGTAGTAACTGAGGTAGCTATATTTACATTAGTAACCATGAATTAATTGCTAAAGATCCATTTCAGCTGCTTGCAGTATAGTACAGAGAAACCCTTTTAAGATTGAAACCAACATTACACTGCAGTATTTGCCAAGCAAAGCTGCTAAATATCAGACCACAGGACTAAAAAGCATCACCACTGATCGATCTATTTCTGAATAGAATCCCTCCATCTGTTAGGTAGATTAGTAATACTGCCTGTCACTCCTGTAACTTTGAGAAATGTCAGGAAACTCCATGTCCTCATTGTGTTCATATTCACTATCCAGATATAAATAACTGGATATTTTATGCTCTGTAGTTTTAAAACATGCAATAAGCAAAAAAACCCCATGCATTGCTCTCAAATGTTTTAACTGATTTCCTGTGGAAAAGAGGTTTTAAAACCTGTCCACAAGCCTTAAGGCTCCACAGATGGGTCCCAAAGATGCACATATTTGTATGTTCAAATGATGTTGAAGCTTCATTATTAAATATGCAGCTATAAACATCCTAAGCACCGTACCAAGATGTTTTGGTTTAGTACTCACCAATCTACTAAATCCTCCATAGAGGATACAAAAGCCTCCCTGATAGCCAGTAATATCAACAAAGCCTTCAATGTTTCTGTAGTCATAGGAGCACAGGACTTTATTTGTTGCAGGATCAATTTGGTCAACACCTCCAGGAGTCACCTCTAGAATCACAGGTTTCCTCGTATCACTCCAGTGATGTTTATAGCAGTTATACCTCTGCAGAGAGAGCTACTTTTAGACATCTACACACACTCCTTTACTACACAGCAATAGTTCTTCTCCAATCTAGTAAGCAGCGTGGGTGTAAAGTTAAAAAAAATTATATCATTTCCCTTAACGCTCTTATCTATGTTAAGAACACTATGAATCAAATGAAAGTAGCTGTCTACTGACAAGGAAGTCACAGCTTAAACAATGCATTTTGAAGAGAGAACAGCAAACCCAAAACAGCCACCCCAAAAGGGAGTAAGTTTCTCTTGCTGCAGAAGGTGGCCTATTCACAGACTGTACACTGTGGTTAGACAAGGAAATAGCTATTGCACCAGATGCTGTTATTCAGCAAATCAAGACTAAATTAAGGTAAGCTTACCACTATAGTGCAAATTTTTCATCTCCTGCAGTCATATTCCATTACAAATAAAGACTTACTGAAATCAACAAAAGTTAGAGGTCTGTTCTAAACTATAGTAAGACAAAGGGGACCCCCATATTCTAGCAGTGTTACTATGCTCACTGAAAATTTACTCTAAGCAATGCTTTAAGTGCTATCTTCTGTGACCAGAAGACACAAAACCAAATACAAAGTCTAGCTCCATATATTGCCTTACTTATTACTGTATTACCAAGATTCATTAAGTGGCAATCTTGTCTTTAATCTGGCCTACAGAAATCCTCCTAGGAAACAATATTCCTACATCAAGTGTTCAGGATGTTATGCAGAAAACTACTTAGAGTTAGAAAGTAAAATGCTGGAAGTAGTAAACATTGAGTAATGAATCAAAGCTTATATCCTTCTTTTTCCTTCTCTCCAAATAAGAACTCCATGTGGCAAAGCCCTTTATTTCAGCAGTAACATTCAGAGTCTTTAAGTGTACCACCATGAGGCTCAGGCCAAGTGAAGAGAACTCAGACATTCTACTGTTGAAAAGGTTCCCATTGCTTTTGAACAAACTCTTAATTTTCTCTTTTCAAAGCAAGACTTCAGATCCAAATTTACAAAAGCTATTTTAGATAGTGCATATAGCACAAGCATAACATACACGCACACAGTAGAAGTTTAAGTCTTTAGATCATTTCATTAAACTGCACATGATCCAGAAAAGCCAGACACTTACCCGTCCTGTGATTTTTCCTTCTGAGAAGTCTGTCCTGAATCTCTGTTTTTAAAAAAGTTAGCCATGAATGAATGCAAATATGATAGCCAATCTATCCAGAAACTCTACGTTTAAGCTGACCCTGTTTTAAGGGACTTGAACTAAGCCTCTTTGAAGACTCACCATTCCACTGCAGTTTAATATATTCACTATTTGTAGCTTTACTTGCTATTTAAGAATCACGCACTAGTTGCTGCAACGCAAGCATGTCAACTTGACACTAGATCAAGTACATTAACAGAACAGCTCAAAAGACAACTTGCTCTCCTACTTTTTATGCAAGGAAAGAAAGCATAGTAAGCTACCACAAATGGTAATGACAACCAAGTACTTACTGCTTGCTTGAAGGAAAAAAAATAAATCTTACCAGTGCCTCTGTAAGGAGTTCTGTTCTGTGCTCTGTGGAAAACTTAAGAGTTTCAGACTTTTTTCCACTCCCTTTGCGAAAAGTGAGACTAAATTCTGTTCCTTGTCCTTTTCCAACAGGAGAAATACTACAGATATCTCCATAAGGCCACTAGACAATTGAAAGTAATTAGGTTATACCATTAGTAATTTTAAAGCTACATCTCCTCTACTCAAAAATCCATAGTACCTGTAATAACTTAGTTGCTGTAATGAGACAATAGCTAGCTAGCTTGAGCTTCCTATTTGATACTCTGCAAAGTAAGCAAGTGTCCTGACTCCCTTCAGGGACATAGCCTTATGGTGATCAAAGTTATCCCAGTTCATTCAGAACAGCACACCCAAAAGCAAACTACTACTTATGGCCAATAAAGACAAATTGCCTAAAAGTACAAAGACTACTGGATATTTGTAGATTTAGTGAAGGCAACACCAGTTTTCTATTACAGCTGCTTTTGTAGCAGCTGCCTTTGTAGCAGCTGCCGTACCTTCCAGTTTTGCTGAGATCATCAGACTAGATAGTTTCTGAAGACTGAATGCCACTATTCACTCTGGATGGTGAACATAAGTCAAATTAACTCAAAATAGCCCTGTTCAAAAATTACGGTTACCTGATTTGTAACTTCTAGCGTGTTGGGATTGTATGTGGTGATGGCATGTGTTCCAACTGAAAAGACTCGCTTATACCTAGAATACAGAAGAGTGTTAGTTTCTCCAGAAGTCACATAAACCTTGTTGAACAGCAAAATTATGTTAAGCAGCTATATACGTATGTCAGTCTTAGGAAACAGATACAGAATTGTCTTTGTTAGTTTGCAGTTTACCCTTATAATATGTTAAGCTTCTCTGTTCTATATATCCATAAAGGGGGCATACAAGTTAAATACTACTAAATATATTTCCTTATGTATCTCTTTTCCTACGTTATTGGCCAAGTCAGGACCAAAGACTCTTAGAACTTGCACTGGAAGGTACTACCAGACCAGAATAAATTCTAAAAAGACTACACAGATAGAAAAAAGATATTCCTGCAATACCCTAAAGCATCTGTCTGAAGCTGTCTCAGACAACAGTTGTAACATGAAATAATCCAATTTGCATACCTGGTCACAATACTGTAACAAGTCAAAGTGTTACTATGGCCAAGCCTTATTTTCTTCACCTTGAGGAAAACTGAGACTACTAAACTCAGAAAGACTCATATCACTGAAGCTATAGTTCAATACCCAGCTAGGCATTGTACATCAATATCACAGGTATGTTAACTGCCATAGTGCTTAAAGAACAGCTGTAGCAAGGTAGTTGCTTGCATTTCAGGCATATCAGAAACAAGCAGCAGTGAGCTAAAGCTAAGAAATTTAGATGTATCAAGTGCGGAATGGAAGCCTTACCACGGTTTCATTTCCTAGACAATCTTTACAATATACCCTGAACCAACTCTTTATATAGAGACTATTACATATTTCTTAACCAGAAAGTTTTGCAACATAACTAACCAGAGTTTGAAACAGTAGATTATTACTAATCCCTTACTACTTGTACAAACTTCTTGTTCTAGGGTACTTCTATGTGGAAGCAGTCCTGCCCAGAAAGTCAAGCCAAACCTGAACCAGAGCCAGTTCAAGTAACTATTCTCTGACCAAAGGAACAGGATATGAACATGGATGCCTTGAACTTGAACCAAATATAAATACTTTGGCTAGTTGTCCATATTAAAACTGATACAGTTTAGCAATTTAAGTTTCAGTTCTAGGTAAACTGTGG